TTAATTTTGGGTAACAAAATGGAGATTATGTTTAATATTCTAAAGTTATGGCATTCTAATTTGAATTTAAGTTGGCTTAAAATCTTATGCTTTGTATCCCCTTCAACTGTTGATGTCATAAAATTACATCTTTATACACTTTATGACTAAAGTATAAACCAATAATATTTAAATGTATGAGTCTTTCAAATTATGCAAAAAAATGTGGAATTTCAAGGCATAAGTATGATACTAGTTTTTAGATTAATAATTTTTAATGTATTAAATCCTTATTCATGTAGAAAACAAAGAAGTAGAATTATTAACTGTTGGTTTAATAATGCTAGCTTTTATGATTGCCTATGTATTTACATTTATTAAGACCTTTATTTCTTCATGTGGCTATCTAGTGTCCTTTCATTTCACCCTACACTGCTCCTTTAAGTATATCTTTCAGCACAGGTCTAATGGCAACAAACTCCCTCATCTGATTATCTGGGAAGTTCTTAATTTCATCCTCAGATTTGAAGGACAGTTTTGCTGGATATAGTATTCTTGACTCAACAGTATTTTTAAAAGCACTTTCCATATATTGACTCATTGCTTTTTATTAGCAAATGTTTTGCAAATAAAAAGAGCTTTTTGAAAGCAATTAGATAGGAAAGTTAACCAAGCAAACAAAGCATATGAGAGCTAGGGTGACTTTCTTAATAATAGTAAAGGTAGACTTCAAAACAAGTGTGAAAGTTAAAAGGGTCATTCTGAAATTACAAAAGTGTTAATTCACCAAATAGATATTCTAGTAGTAAACATGTATTTATCATCAGAACTTCAAAAAGGATGAAACAAACACTGACAGAACTAAGAGAGAGGTAGACAAAGTTACAATTATAATACAAGATATTTTATACCTATTAATATTTGAGATAAAAATGAGTCAAAAAGTCAGTAAGAATATGGAAGCTGTCAGGGACACTACCAAACAACTTGACCTAATTGATAGTTACAAAGCACTGCACTCAACAACTTCACATTATTTTCAAGTACACATGAATAATTCACAAAGGTAGAAAATATATAGACTAAGTTTCCATAAATGCCAAAATATTGAAATATTATAGAACATGTTCTTGATGATGATAGAATTAAATTATACATCAGTTTTAGTAAGATGTCTAGTGAAGTCCTAAATTCTTGGAAATTAAAAAAAAATAGCACATGAGTTAAACAACATATATAATTAGATAAAATTTCAAATCAAATAGAAATGAAAATGCAACATATTGAAATTTGTGGGATGCAACAAAGAAATGTCTAGAAAAAAATGTAAAGCATTATATTTGAGCAGAAAAAAGATTTAAAACCAACTATCTAATTCTCTTAAAAAACAAAAGCAGGTATAGAAATTAAACCAAAGAAAGTAGAAGGAAGATAATAAGCTGATTTCTTAGAAAAATTAATAAATTTTTAAGTAACTAGTTAGAGTGATGTGTTGAAAAGAGACCATACAGTTATCAATATTTGGAATGAAGTAGGAGGTATAAAACAGATACAATACACAATAAAATGTTAATAGGGAATGCTATATGATGAAATGTATGGCAATAAAGTTAAAAACCTACATAGAATGGACAGATTCCTTAAACAATATAACTTATCAAAATAAATTCAAGAAAAAATTGGATATCTTAATAGTATTATATCTACTAAATAAATTATACAAAAATAAACCTTCCTAAATAGAAAATATCAGGCCTACATGACTTCCCTGGTGAATGATATAAAAAATTTAGGAAGAAATAATACTACTCTTACACAAAGAATAAATAATAAAATAAGAGTGGAGAAATGCATCGATTTAGGAAGATTACAAAACACACAATTAATATACAAAAATCAATTGCATTTTTATAAACTGGTAGCAAATAATTGAGTGAAATTTTAAACAATTAACATTGTAAAATATTAAATAATGATAATTTTATAAAAAATTGCTCTCCAAATACAAATATTGAGAGAAATTAAACAAATAAGTGAAGAGATATTCATGTTCATAGATTGTCAGACTGAATGTTTTCAAGAAGTCAGTTCTCTTCAAAATGACAGTCAGATTCAACCCAATAACAATTATAATTCCAATAGGAGAGTACAAACACACACAGGAATACACAGACACACACACATAAATTTTCCCAAAATTTATTCATCAAGTTTAGCGAAATATTTTGAAAAAGAAAAAAGTAAATTTGGAAAACTCACAATTCTTGTTTTGAAACTAACAAGCAATTTCTAGTAATCAAGAAGTAAAGTATTGGTTAAAGCTAGACAAATAGATGGAACATAATATAGAGACCAGAAAGAGATTCATGCATGTTTAATCACATGATTTATAACAAAGACATCAAACAAATTTATTGAGGAAATATAAATTCTTCAGTAAGTGATGCTGGGCTACCTAGGAAGACATTCAAAAAATAAATTTCAACTCCACTTAGCATTGCATACACAAATAATTCAAGATGAGTTACAGTTCCAAATATAAAAATGAAAAGGCAATTAAAATTCTAGAGGAAATAATAGGAGACTACTTTTGCATTTTAGAGGCAGGTAGATGTTTCTTCGAAGGAACATAAAAAAGCATAAATATTAAAGATTTAAAAAAGGTCAGATGTAAAATTCAGAATGTGTGTTCATCAGCACACTATTAAGAAAATGAAAAGGCAAATCAGAGTTTGGGTTAAAATGTTGTGTGTGTGTATATATATATATATATATATATATATATATATATATATATCTTATCTCCAGAATATATTTATTTCATGCACACACACAGGCAAGTATGTATATTTGTATATATTTTGCACACTCAATACAAACATCTACAAATCAATAATAAAAGAGAACTCAATATAAAGCTATGAGTTATATTTACATAAATTGTGTAAGTATATAATATGCATATATAACACATACACATACAAATCCTACAAATGAATAAAGTCCTTCAAGTAAGTAATAAAAAACTTGGTATTAAAATATGGGCAAACACATGAAGAAGTGCTCTATACAATTATCACGGAAATGCAAACTAAAAACATCTCACTTCCACTAGAATGACCAGAATTAAAAAGACTGTCAACACCCAATTACTGTTGGTGAGAATGTGGAACATCTTTCCTACATCTCTGATGAGAACATAAAATGTTATGATCACTTTGGGGAACTATTTAATAGTTTCTATACAGTTAAATGTTCATCAACTTTATGACACAGTAATTTCACTCCTAGTTATTTACAAGAATATTTATAAATACTTCATTCATAATGGCCCCAAATTATAAACAACAAAATTATTCATCAATCATGAGTGGATAAATAAGTTGTGATTCATATGATATTATGGATGAGTCTCAAAAAATAATATTAAAATAAATCAGACAAATAAACATGAAAACATGTTTCATATCACTTATCAGGGAAATGCAAACTCAAAGAAGATACCATCACATGCTTATTAGAATGACAAAAATCTAAATCAGTGACAATACCACATGTGTGCAAAGAGGTGAAGCAATGGGAACTCTCATTCACTGATCGTGGGGGTGCAAAATTTATAACTACTTTGGAAGACAGTTTGGTAATTTCTTACAAAACCAAATCTTTCCATATGATCCAGCATTGGATTTCCTTGGAATTTGCCCAAAGCAATTGAAGATTCAAGTCCACCAAAAGATCTTCACATGGATGTTTATAGCAGATTAATTCATAATTGCCAAAACTTGGAAGCAACAGTGATGTCCTTCACTAAATGGATGAATTAAATGTGGTATAGTAGACAATGTATTATTATTTAGGACAAAAAGAAATGAGCTCTCAAGTCACGACATGATATGCAAAATCCTCAAATGTATGTTACTAATTTGTAATCATTGAAGGTAAAGAAAAGGCTAATTTGTTTACGAAAACTGAGAGGAAGAATTGGATATATCAGGAACAGGTGCCTGAGAGAAGGAAGCAGCTTTCTGGTAGCATGGACAGATGGCATGAGTAGGAGCCTTGGTGGTGACCTGCTATGGCTTTGAGGCCTTTCTGTATTGAAGTATCTGGTGTACATTTTTTCTATCCTTCCTGATTAGGTTCTACACAGGAAGACAGAGAATGCTGAAATCCCAAACCTGCCTTTCAGCTAGGTGTTTTGTTTTGGCAGATTCCTTCTTTAGAATGACAAGTGGTTGGCAGCAAAGCACTTAACTTCAAAGGCAAACTGAGCAGAGTCAGAGGCTCACGCAAGGCTCTGGTATCCAGGGCCACTACTGAGCAAACCTCTACCTCTCATCTCTTGTATAAAGCAGATGGAAGCACATTTCAGAAATCAGTGTATTTTCAAAAAAAAAAAAATGAACCCCTATCCACTGGTCCATAGGAGTTATAATATAGTGCATTTTGAAGCTGAAGTTCTGATATAATTCTTTCTCTAGGTTTTTCTTTTCATACCTTATTTTCCCATGAAAATTGTGGAATTTAAATAGGATTGTATAATTGCCATAGTAGCAAATATTCTCAAATATTTTTCTAGCAATCAGTTTTGAGAAAAAGGGTTAGTAGTCATGTTAAAAGCAAGTCATATTATCTTGAGATGTAGGTATTCCTTAAGAAGAGGTGCTTTCTCATGGTTTGACTCAGACCAAGCAATAATAAGCTATAGCATATAAAGGATTTACATTGAACATCTCACCTCTCTATCTTGATTATTTGGTTATACCAACCTCTGGAACCAACATCATTATACTTGCTTAGATCACTTATACAGCTTTAATTATTTCATTTTTCTATGAATGAGTCCACTGATGTAGAAGACTTCCAGTTATTTTTATAGAAGGAATTTCAAGGCTTCATAAAGAGTCAGAGATGCATTCATGAAAACTCCTTTTTATGCCCACTCTCAGAAAAGTGTCTTGTGGTCGGTCCTTATATTTGGGCATCTCTGAACCCAGAGTAGAGTGGTCCTCACTGCCACCTCAGCTTGGCATTCCCGAGATTAGGTTGACTGCATGTCCGGAGGGGCAAGCTGCCATCATTCCTATACAAACCATCACCCCAACCTTGCTGTGCCACAGTATCAATAAGGGCACTGAGATGAGAGCAGCACAGAACCACACTGCATAGAAACAGAGAAAGAAGCTAAGTCAAGTGTATGAGGGCTTTGATATGGGCCTCTGGCTGGAGGTGTGAGTGTCTCTGGTTTGGGATTTCATTGTTCTCATGTGACCTCTGAGGAAGATAACCAGGAACCCTAAAGAAACTAGAAAATAAAGGAAAGGGGAGAGAGATCCCACATTGCAGAAGATAAATGAATAAAAGAAAACTGAGTTTTGTAATTGGCAAATTGAGTTCTGATTGTTCATGGATAACATCTGTGACTGTGAAGTGAGATATGCTAAAAAAAGTTCCATAAACAGAGGACAATGCAGATGCAGGAGAAAAGAACAGCACACAGGAGCACCTGGGGGATCTTCCTGGAGATCCAGCCTGTGCAGCAGAGGAAGAAGGTGTTGGAGAAACGGACAATCTTGGAGCAATACAGGAGACTAAGGCAGATGGTGAGCCAAAGGTTGACTTGATGTGCAATCATCCACAGCATAATGACAGTTTGGTAGTTGTGATTCAGTGGGTCTTTCATCTGCTGGCAGAGAGTAAACTGGATGGCTCCGAGAAACAGCAGCCCATGCAGAAAAAGCCGGGAGATGCTCAGACACATCAGCACAAGGTCACAGTTGCTAAGTGGCTGTCTCTTTACCATATTTCTAAAGTTCATCAAGAAAATGAATACATTGGCCAAGATCCCCACTGCAAACTCCAGGATTGAAAGGAACAGAAATGAATCTTGGCTTTATAGGACAGAGTTAAGACAGGAGTCAGAGTCAACATGATGCTTCTCTTGGTGACTGGTTCATTTAAAATTCAGACACTACTCAGCAGAGGAGGGTAAGAGTACATTCTGAATCAGGACTTTCCTTTACAAAACACCCAGATCTTGCCCTAGTTATGTCCCAAAGTAGGTACACTAAAAGCCCTGACAGGAATCTTTGAGGGATCTTGTTGCTTTAGAATGTTTCTTGGATACACGTGAAGGCTCATTATGAGGGTAGATGACTGCTGGTTCTACTCTTTGGAATAATGGAGAAGCACTTCCTAAATCCAGGTATTCCTGTACAGCAGTCTCCCCAGAGGACCACAGTATAGCATCAGAGATGCAAATGAGATAGGGTCTCAGTTTTCCAACCAGATAGGGTCCAGTTTTGCATGCCCATCTGGACTGGTGGGAGTGGAAATGAGAATCGGATTTGCTTATAGGTTTCAATGAAACTGGCAGCAGGCAAAGCAGATATTCTTGGTGAACTAAGGTTTGAAATAGTGTCTCCTTCCATTTGCATTTCTTCTATATCTCAGAGTCATGACTTTCCATAGAATGTGTTTCTATATGGACAAGTGAATTGTTCTTCCTCTAGTCCAACAGGTGACTGCTATTTTAGTTGCCATTCTAAAGGCTTCATTCACCCATCACTGTTGTACTAGACACTGTACTTGACAAGAGGGGTGTTGACCTGAGCAAGATGAGCACCTGGCCATGAAGTAGAGGGAGGGACAGTATCCAGCCTGGATTACTGCAGGAGGCTTTAAACTGCTCTCTCTGCTTCTCAGCCTCACTCTCTCATATAGTATTCCACAAAGTAACAATAATGATCCTGATAATATAACTTAGGTTGGGTAATTTCTCTGTTCAAATCTTTCAGGGTCTCTAATCTCCCTCCCCGTAAAAGCTTAGTCCCTACAGTGGCCTATGGGTGTTTCACAGTCAGGACCCCTGTTCTTTTCAGATGTCATCGGGGACACTTGCTTTTCCCCTTCTTCCATGCCAGCCATGAGGATTTTTCTTGTTCTGTGAACTCACCAAGCACTCTCACTGCAGGACCACTACATTTGTATTTCTCACGACCTGAACTGCTTTTACGTTTTGTGTTTCAGTGTCTCACTTGCTTCTCAAAAGTTCACTGGAAAGACTTTCCCTGACCATCCTATAAATGGTATCCCTTACCTTATCTTGGGTGCTTACTATAATGTTGAATCTGTTTTATCTTTCTGTATATATTCAATTATTTATTGCCAGTATCCACTTTCCCCACTGAAAAATGTAAGCTTCATGAAGGCACTTATTTTCACAAAACAAATATTTAGTTGTCTATAGTATCCCCTCAGTCTGCACATATTATATATTTTATATTATTTATTTATATTATATATATTTATATGATATATTTTATAATATAAAAATGTTGTACTTTTTAACATTCCAGGGAATACATTCTAACACATATGGTTTTACATTCCAAGATTTAGGATTCTCCCCTTTCAAACATTTCCCAATATTTGTTACCCTTGGGCCTTCCAGCATCTGGAATTTTCCTTGATCTCTAAAGGAATATGGGTGGATTTCACAATTACATTTGAAAGCTCTGTAAAAATTCGGGCTAGTTACTCAGGTGCATTCCACTTACATCAACTCCTCTCTCACCTTGCCTTCTTGCATGGGTATGAGAAGTAGCAGCCAGGTCCTAAAAACCAGAGGCACAGGCCTTAGGGAAAGAAAGCCCTGAAATTACATTATTGACAGAATGATTGCAGAAACCTCTATACCTGGTTACACAAAACACTGATTAGTTTAATTTTAACACTGGCAATGGGGCAAATTTGCTATAGGTAGATTGGGTTCAAAGTCAAGCAAATATATATATTTTTGAGAGCAAAGTGTTTTTTTGGTTTGAGTGTCACTGAGCTAAGACTCCTCAGCCCTTTGCTGCCGACAGTGAACACCTTGCCCAACCTATCCAGACCCAAAGCAAAAGGGCAGAGACGGACAGAGGGCAGGTAAATACCAGTGAAGTGAAGAGAAAATAAGACGAATTACCAGGGACTGTGTGAAATGTTAATTGATATATGAAGAGAGCATAGTCCTTAGGGAAGGAGGCTCTTTTACTCTAGAGGGAAACCCCCACTGATGGCTTCAGATCGTGTTAATTTAAAAGAAGCAATTTGATATTAGTGAGATAGACAACTAACAGGAGTCTGAAACCAAGGAGGTATCATTTTTTATTAAAATGTTTATTTCTATTTATTTGCATGTTATAACTAACATAATTGTGGGATTATTCTTACATATTCATACATGCATGTGGCTTACAGTATAATCTGGTCATTATGGCTCCCCAGTATTTCTCCTTTCCCTACTATGAGGAGGAACCATTCAGAAAACAAGTCCCCTAGCCGTGGTGGAAAGCACTGAAGACTGGACTGGCACCTAGGAAGCACCGGGGAGGAAGGAACAGTGCTTCAGAAGCAGGAAGGAGTCCAGGGTGACTCTTGGAGGAGGAAAACCTGCAGCGGCCAACTCAGGCTGGGTGTGTGGCCCAGGAGACTTTTTTTTTTTTTTTTTTTTTAGCTTCTGTGTGCATTATAAGATAAGGTGGTAGGTCTTCAGTTCCCTTCTGTCCTCCCACCTGCTGACATTCCTAAATAGGGGCTGGATTCTGTTCCTGCACTGTCTGCACTGGGGTTAGGCAGACAGCAATGGGGAGGCTTGTACCAGACAAGTGGGAAAGACCGGCAACCTACTCTAAGCAAGTCGAGGAGGAGTCCCCAGGTTTCCTATTTCTCCAGATAATCAAACAAAGAAATAGGTGGTCCTGGACTCATAGAATTTTCCTGGAAGTTCAGCCAGCCTGGACGCGTTCTCCTCGCATTATTTAAATCTACCACTAGGTGGCGCCAGACCACCGTGAAGTGTGCAATTCCTGGCCTGTTCAGGGTGCTTGAGAACCCCAGCGGTGTTTTCTTTAATCAAGCAATAATAAGGTCCTATATTTCACACAATTGAAATTTTAGACTGCATTTAATGCTATACTGTAAGCTGGATATCCTTTAATATTATAGTTGCCTCACAAAGAATGTAATGATACTTCCATTTTACTAATGAGAAAGTTTCAAGAAAGTTAATTAGTTAAATATCTTGGCCAAAGTCACTAAATTAATGAGGAACTAGAATTCTGACACTAGATTTCTGATTTCCTCTAAGCCTAACTACCAACCTGAGGTTTGGGGTGGAGAAGATGCTCTCATTTTGTGGAGATGCCTGGTAACAATATTCTTTCCAGCCTCAGCCCTACTTTTAACATTAAGTTTCTGGCTGTTGAGACCCTCTGAGCCGCCTCAGTGTAATGCAGGGAGGAAGGCAATAGCTCATCCCTTCCCAGGAGAGAGAAAAATTGAGTGTGGGTAAGTGGGTCTCATACCTCGAGACTACTATTCTGGCTAAGGAAAGGAGTGGGAAAAATCTCCTTGGACTCTCAGAAATAACATGTCTATATACCTAGTGGGTTGACATAGCTATTAGTAAATCAAGGCCCTGGAGTATAAAAGAAAATTGCTCACAATTTCTTAATCAGATCTGACATGTCTTTTTGATTCCCTTCTTATAGGATTCCTCCATCGACTTTGCTTCTATTACCCTTTATTCATACCACCATTGTAGCATTTATTAAAATTTGTGTTTTTTAAAACATGTGTATTCTGAATTTACATCAAGTTCTTCAAGAGCAGGGATTATGTATTATTCTTTCTTTGCTCTGCATTAAACATGACACATTAATTTGAATTTTATCCCTTTATTTGGTCATTCAATTTAAATCCAAGATTATAATTTGAGAAAATTTACTGTCTTAGAGATGTAGTATGTAGATCTTGCTTGAATCTAGGTGAATTCACTCCTGGGATTCAAACATGTTTTTTGTGTGGAAGATGAGAGGCTGAAAGTCTTTCATAACCCATCATTGTGTAGCCATTCAGGAAAACACTCATCCTAAGAGAAGAGAGAAATGGGCAGTGAACCTTGTCCTGCCTACAAAACTATAGTCCTCAAAAGTTGTAGGCAAGGTTCTGGATATTAATAATAATATAATTTATTAATGATAAACAGGGTTTTTATCATTAATCCTTGTCCTCTATTCCAGACCTATGGACTTCTGTCTGAATCCAAAGAAAGGTGCATTAGGTAGGCCCTTTGGCTGTTTTAATCATTCAGGTGAACTCCAATAATGTCAGTCTATTACATGCTGCACTAAATAGTTCTCAGGGCTCACAGTGTGCCATGTCGGGGAAATCACCCTCGCTGGGGGAGTTATAAGATGTGCAAATTCTTGGGTTCCACTTAAACTCAATGAAACAAAACCCCTAAAGGTGGGGCCTTACAATCTGTGTTTTAGCAAGCCATTCAAGTGATTCTGGTGCATTATCACATTGGAAAACCACTGGGATGTAAAGAAAAGCAAATAAATTTGTCAGAATTTCTGTAATAACCATACTTTACAGAAAACTGGAACACCACATGCACATTGGAACTTTTGTCAGGATCCACATAATCTTAGCAACAGGAGTCAATTGTCACTCACTTGAATGCTCCACCATAAATGAGATGTAGACTCTTGTTAGAAATTGAAGAAAGACTTTGATGGTTTTAGATGGTAGATAGGCTAACATCCCAGGAATCCCAAATCCAGCTTTGCCAATTACTCTTGTTACATGAGAAGAACAACAGAGAAGTGGGAGTATAATGTTAGTATTACTCTCTTAAAACTGAAAGCAGTACCCAAAGGCTCCCTTTGGCAAAGTTCTAATACAAGTTGGATTGGAGCATCCAGTAGACCTAGGCAGAGTCCACATACCCGATTTGCCTCTGCCCATGGTAAATACTGCCAATTACATTTGCAATATCAATTCTCTCTTTTTCATTACCAACAGGACTCCAAACAAACAAACAAACTGCATTTACCTTCTTTCTTCCAGATAGAGGTGGCCTCTGAGACACAAGAAAAAGTAATTGGGTGGGATTTCTTAGAAAACCTCTGTTGTTTTTCTTTCTTTATTTGCCTGAACTTACTTGTTACAGTTGGACCCCAACCATTAGGGAAAATCCCAAATAATCTCAAAATTTTCACTCTGAATTCCTTGAGTAGCTGAAACCACCACCAGCAATTTCTCTTCTTCAGGCTTCTCATTATGTGATGAAGGTAAACTCCTCAAGTCCTTAAGCCTCAATTCTTAGGTCACAACTATTGGAAGCTGAACACAGTATGAAATCTATAATTTGGGACCAGAATGCTCAAGAGTGTGGAGAGAGGGAGAGGGAGAGGGAGAAGTACACATGGGGAGAGACAGAAGTGTTCATACTTACCCAGTTACTTGGAGGAGAGAAAGAAGAGAACTTGCCGGAAAGAAGGGTCCTAAATCTACTTGTCTGCCTAATCATATAGAACCAGGAAGTGGACTGGAGAGGTCAACATGCTTCCTGTCTAGATTTGCTGGTCACGATGAGGCAGAAACAGGAACTACAAGAGAGGAAACAAAATAAATGATATCTCTACCTCCTGTATTTTAACAATTTTGTTTTTGCCACAAGTAATTGTCAAAGTGATGTGGGTAGAGTACTCAGAGATGGGGCCAAGGATTCTTTTGCCCAACTCTTATTTCTGTTTATCTTTTATTTATTTATTTAAGTACCAGGGATTGAACTCAGGGGCACTTGACCATGGAGCCACATCCCCAGCCCTATTTTGTATTTTATTTAGAAAGAGGTCTCACTGAATTGCTTAGCACTTTGTTTTTGCTGAGGCTGGCTTTGAACTTGCAATTCTCCTGCTTCAGCCTCCTGAGCCACTGGAATTATAGGCATGCACCACCATGCACAGCTGTTTCTCTGTCTTTTCATTTTATTATTGCTAATAATTAATTTTGCTAACAATTATGTCTTACATTCAGAAAGAGAATCTGTGAGGTCTAGTTGTCAGATAGGAAGATGCTTTGTAAGCTGCCAATTAAGAATTGGCTATCTTTGGGTGAGGTGCCCATCCCTGATAGAGTGAACTTTGATACCAACATGGAATCTTGAGATTAGGCACATAAAGAAGATCACATTCCTTGGCAGGATCTGTGGGTAGGGATTCCTTTAGAGGGACTTCTGGATTCATTTTTAAGTTTTATTTTATCCACAGACATGAGATAAGAGAGAGGAGATTTTAGGTAAAACTGACAGAGTTGTAAGATCTTGGATAACAAACCCTGCTTTGTTTATCTCTAATAGGGATAACATAGAAAGAACGGTAAGTGAACACTGTGTAGCACTGTGTTTTTGAGAACTCTTTCTGGCTAACACTGGAGTTCAAGTGGTGCCCAGATGGAGACAGTGTGGACATGGTTGTTCCCAAAGAACAGAACAGGAAGAGGAAGTACACAGGACAAGGAAGCCAAGTCAATAGGCAAAAATGATAGAGCTCACACTTTGGCATAAGACACTATCAGTAAATTTAAGATGTTCATTATATCTTTAAACAGTTTTCCTCTGGGTGTGAGACTAAAAGAAAACATACTTAGCAGGGGTTCATTGTAGGGGAATCTCTGCAAAATTTAGTGTTTTGTATTGAAAAAAAACATATAAATTTGCATATTATTATATTTACTGCCATATTTTCATAATCGATTTTTTAATTGAAATCACTATTCTTCTGCAATGATCTTGGATTAAAATTGAATTTCCAAGAAAATGCATTATGTATCTCCCAGTATGCTACCACATACTTATAAGGGTACGTGTCTCCTGATCTAAAAATCTATAATTCTGTGGAATGCCACAAGTCATAGGGACTTTGTGGATATATGCAGATCCTCCAATTGTGAGTGATTGTAAAAGTGAGAAAAACACAAATAACAGGAGGGACTTCTGGATTCATTTTTAAGTTTTATTGCTCATAGGATCAACTGAAGTGGTTAGAAAATTTCAGTGGTGTTAGTGGACAAAGGGAGACAATGACAGCTTTCATAGCAGGGCTAGTAGGAACCATTTGGTTACATGGCACAGAAACTGGCTAGAAGTAAGGGCCTGGGAGGTGATGAGGGTGATGATGATGATGGTAGTAATAGTAAAAATACTTTGGGTGAAGATTTGGGAAAATCACATAAGATTAAAGATTAAGTTGTACATCAGCCTTCACAGAAATTGCAAAAATACTGGTACTTCATTGCTCCATTTATGCTTCTTGGGGTTTTTCACTAGTCTATTTTTTAGGTAAAACAAAATACCCATGGCAAGTTAACTCTATGATGAAAATAGTCCCATTTGGGAGCTTGAAAGTCCAAGTAGCATGGCACTGACCCAGCGAGGGCCCCTCTGGTTGCATCACATGGTGGCAGATGGCATCATGGTGGGAGTTTTATAAAAGAGCAAGAGATAAATCACAAGGTGAGACAGAAAACTAAAGATCAGGGAGGTCCAGTCTTGCACTTTTATAACAACTCTCTGCGAAGTCCTGTGAGAACTACATTAATTCCTTTCAATGGCAACAACTCCAGTGACTCAATGACCCCACATTAGCTCCACTTCTTAAAGGTTCCATAACGTCCCAACATCACCTACTGGGCAAAAAGCCTCCAACACATGACTCCGTAGGGGACAAACTGTATCCAAATTGAATAGTATCCTATTTTTGCTACTCTCTACATATCTATTCCATTCTCTCTCTCTCTCTCTCTCTCTCTCTCTCTCTCTCTATTTTGGTACTGGGGATTGAACTCAAGGGCACTCCACCACTGAGCCACATCCCCAACCCTATTTTGTATATTATTTAGAGATAGGGTCTTACTGAGTTGCCTAGTGCTTCACCATTGCTGAGGCTGGCTTTGAACTCGCGATCCTCCTGCCTCAGTTTCCAGAGCTGCTGGGATTACAGGCGTGCACCACCACGCCTGGCTATTCCATTCTCTTTTGGGGAAAAATACATTTATTAATGGGCTGGGATTGTGGCTCAGTGGTAGAACACTTGCCTAGCAAGTGTGAGACACTGAGTTAGATCCCAAGAATCAAGTTAAAAAAAACTAAATAAACAAAATAAAGGTATTGTGCCCATCTACAACTAAAAACATTTAAAAATATTTATTAAAACTCTTGAATTTTTGCCTGTCAATTTCATGACATGATCCCACAGACCTAATGTAGATGGCATGTGCTTGAGTGTGTATAGTATGCTGACTCTGTGTGTGTGTGTGTGTGTGTGTGTGTGTGTGTGAGAGAGAGAGAGAGAGAGAGAGAGAGAGAGATATGTAGTATGAGGTAGAGATTCAGACAATGAGATTCAGACTCTGTCAAATCCCAATTTCTGTGAGGGAGCAGCTAATTGGCAAGGTTTGATCTTCGTTCCAGTGCTAGTGCGGTCAGCTGTGATGAGAGGGTTAGAGTCATGTTGAGCTGTCTTTGCAGGGGTGGGCTGTGCAGGTGTCCTCTGGGCATGCTCAAGGGAGGAAATGATGGGAATTTTTGTAGAAGATTTGAGCTTAAAGGGAAGTATCTCTCTCTGAGTGAGGGTCTCCGCTTTGGAGACTTGGTAGTAAGTGAACTTTGAATTTGTTGAATGAATGAATAAACATTCAGCCTGAAAAGTGGTTTTCCAGATTTACTGACTTCAAACTCTATGAACATTGGATTACAAGACTAAAATTGTTAGTGTGAACTCAGCTCTGCCTCTATTTGAGTGACCTTTATCAGGTCATTTTTCTTAGCTTCTATTTCCTGATTTATAGATGAAGATTGAAAATACCTACCCTATGTTTTAGGATTGTTACCATCAAAGAGATAGTACAGATCAAAGTGTTCTGAAGGCTGCCAATTACCAACAGTTTTATTTTATTGCTGACCTGTGAATATTAGGTAATGTATCGTTCCTAACGGCTCTCCTTGGACTTGTACCTGTAAGTACTTGCACTCTGGTCTGGGAGGGTGGAGGTGAGGAAAGATGTAAGTCAGTGTAAAGCTGCAGAAGAGCAGCTGTTTCCCAAGAGGAGGAAGTGCTGTAATGCTCTGTGCCTGTTGTTTATATCTAACCTTCCTTTGAACATTTCTGGGTAGAGAAGTTGCTCCTACTCCATCCAGCTCCTTTCTCCCCTTCCAGGTGGCCAGTGATGTGAAGGGCTTATATGAGACCCAACAGAAGGAAAATCACGTGGCTGGGAAAAAAAGAAAGAGGTACAATTTAAGTTTGTAGGCTATGGAGAGAGGGAGGTCATTTTAACAGGAAGGGGGTGTAGATGGCATGTGCTTGAGTGTGTGTAGTATGCTGACTATGTGTGTGTGTGTGTTTGTTTGTGTGTGTGTGTGTGTGAGAGAGAGAGAGAGAGAGAGAGTCATATAGTATGAGGTAGAAATGTAGGTCAGGTCTGATTTTCCACCATTGGCTCACAGAATCAGTTCGGTGTAGAATTTACTGTCTCCACTTGTCTATCTCAAGGGTCTCTGAGAGAAGAGACCACCTCCTTTCAGCCCAATCCAGTGAGGCAATTTTAGAGCTTGGTGAACTATAGGAACAGTTCTTAACAGAATTTAGCTAATGATACTGCTGGTGTATATTATTTGATTTTCAGAAAAGATTTAAGTTGGAGTGGTTCTGGGAGGCCAACATTGGATATTGGGTACTCATTATCTTCTCTTAGGTTCAAAATAACATTATTAAGTGCTATTATCATCCTGAATTTATAGACAAGAAAATTTAGCTGCCTAAGTTATTAATTAAGTGACTAGAGAATCTGATATTCAAGCCCAGGCTAGTTTGATTTCAAACTCCACGTTCTCTCTGGCACTATATCCAGACAGGGAACCCTGAAAGATCAATCTAAAGATTTAACATGGAAATGCTCTCTAAGAAATTATTTGTCTCTTTTCGAGAATTATATTCAACAGTTTTAGATTGCAGGGATATTTTCAGGAAAACCCACCCACAGAGGAAGGGACATATCCATTGTTGATATGATCCAAACAGATGAGAATATTATTTTCTAAAAGGAGTTTATTCTAGGAAGGGATAATCCATGAACTCATCTTAACTGCAAGAAGGGAATACTCACTAGGCCTCTGTCCCTCTGGGCTCAGTAGTCAGACTCCTCCTGTGGGTTTGGTTTTGAAGGAGACATTGAGAAAACTCAGGGAGCTGGAAGCTAGTGGGGGGTTAAGCTCTACTAAGCATTTGCAGAATGCATACCTATAGAACAGAGCAATGTATTCTTGAGTGTACTATTACCTCAATAGTTCTGAAAAGAGAAATATCAGAATACCAGTGACACTGATGGGGTGTTTACTAAGGCCTATGTATTATGTTAAATGTTTCACATGCATTCTTTCATATCTTCTTCATAATTACATGACATTACTCCATGGGCATGTACCTGGTGCAGCTTCCAGGTTCCGTT